TGTTGCACAACGCCATAGTGTGCACTGGCTACAAGGTCACGCAGCAAGACCGTGCAAAAAATTTTGGTCAAGCATCTAACTACAGTCCTCATCATTACGGACTGTCGGGGCGGCACAGCCGCGCTGCACTGTGACGCGACAGCGGCTGCGGCTCGGTGACGGTGAATCAGCTGATTTCGATGGAATTCGGCTGCAAATTCCCACTTTTTCAGCTCTTCAAGCTTCTAAAGTGGAAGGTGAGTTATTCTGACCAATTTTGAATTGTACTGACTCTGAATGAATCTGAAAGAATGTAAGCCATTTGAATAAATGCCTGAAATAAGGCAAAATACAAGGAAAAGAGCATAATAATCGACATAAAATAAAGGAAATCAGAGCCAGTACAATTCAAAATTGTTCAGAATAACTCACCTTCCACTTTAGAAGCTTGAAGAGCTGAAAAAGTAGGAATTTGCAGCCGAATTCCATCGAAATCAGCTGATTCACCGTCACCGAGCCGCAGCCGCTGTCGCGTCACAGTGCAGCGCGGCTGTGCCGCCCCGACAGTACGTAATGATGAGGACTGTATAGTTATTGTTTCAAGGAAGAAGAAAATGCTGCTTCGTCGTCAACGTCTTCGGTGTCCAAGAGACGTTCGCGCCGCGGAGGCTCTCCGGATTCAGCTGATCATCAGTGATTTAACATGGTGATGGTTTTTATGAGTTTTGGTCCCCTTCATGATAACACATGTTACGGATGTGTATGCTCATCACAGTACTACCGGGGACACAATTGAGTCGTTAACTCAGAATGGTTTTCTTCTCTTTTTTCAATGATCTCCTTTGTTTTTATAAATTTGTGCAAGTTCCGTTGCAGAAAGTATTTGAATTGTTTGTTAACTTAATACGTTGATCACTGCCGCTGAAGATGACTTGTTTTTCGTTGTTCCTATGGTTCATGGTCATATTTGCATGGCTTCGTTTGTGCGCCGGTATATTTACCCGGTACTTCTATCCCTCTCGTAAGCTGAGCTCGTTGTTATTTTTGCGTTGATTCAATGAAGGATTTTCTTGTACACAGTTTATCACCTCTCTTTGAGATCTTTAGGATTGGGGTACACTGTAATCGAACATTTTCTCCTACACAGATGTAGCATCAATTCTGTTTATTTTTTAAGAAGATTGCTTAAATTGGGAGTTAGAGCTATGTTTTCCGACTTTTCAAAAACTCAGGGCAAACATCTATTGAGCTGTACATGCTCTAGCTCGCTACGGACGACGGGGCGTGTTAGGCAGTATGGGTATGCTCACGGCGCCAAACCGTTCTCTGCCAGTTGTTGAAGCGGGTATGCGACAACAGTTGGTAGAAAACGAGTGATACGAACGATATGATACAGTCTTGTCACTTGCTCGCTTCAACACTGGTGGAGAACGGGTTTGGCACCGCGCCAAACTCATCCCGCTGACACGCCCCTTCGTCCGCAGCAAACTAGACTGTACTTGCACTTTAGTTATATCATATCATCTTTTATCCCTATTATCTGATCTAGAGAGTCGAAATCCTCCACCGTTGGAGTTGTAGGAAAAATTCTCAGCTGGAGGAGTTCCACCAGCAGGTGGCGCTCAGTGAGTCGGTGCTCATCATCACCATCAACAGAACCGCTCCATTTGGTGCCAGGCTGGCTGTTCATGTCGATTGTTACAGGAAGTGGTTACAGGCTATGATGAGTTCAGAGCAGAAATTGTATAAAACTGAATGACTGAAAAAATCTCATCAAAAGCTCATGTAGACCACTTATATTGATGGTGTGTCTCATGGTACGATTGGCCAGCTCGATTCTCACGATATGTCCAATGAAATCAATATTTTGACACATTACGATTTCAGAAGTGTTCATTTGGAAGGTACTAGATTTGAGACTTGTTCACCAGATCCTTGTAAAAGTCCGGTAGTGATAGAACTGATCGTTTTCATCTCACTATTCAAATGC